TCCCACAAAGTGTAGGAACAGGAATTGCGATCCACAGGCAAGTGCCTCCCTACGTGGGGTGGCCAGGGTCCTGGGCGACACCTGCCCCAGGGAGAGCAGAGGCCATACATAGGTCACGTCCCTCTCGAGGCAGCTCTGTGCACAGCTGCCTGCAGCAGGACCACTGCTCAGGAGGTGGCCTGGGCGAGGACTGGGGCCACCTGAGCCACTTTCTTCTCTTGCTGTCCTTGGAAGGAGGAGTCTTGGGGCCAGCCTTGGACCTGTAGGCTGTCCTGTGGAGTGATAATAAATGGGGTCCTTTGGAAATAAACCAGAGGACAGCTGGCAAACAAAAACTCATCTAGGAGACCCCCTCACCTTGATCCCAGATGCTGAAAATGGCACACAGGTAGGCAAGGCCCCAAGCGCAGGTTGCAGGCCACCTGGAAAGACCACACAACCCGGGGAGGGGACAGGGCAGATCCTCCAGGTCTCCCCACTACTGGAGAGGAGGTCGCTTCCCTCACAGGACACATGGGAGGTGGCTGCCTGCCCTCTCCTTGTTTCCAACCCCCACCCTGATCTCAGCCCTCCCCAGAGATGAACAAGTCCATTGTTTGGAATGGAAAGCTCCAGGCATTGCATCCGCTGCACACAGGTACACACACACACGGGCACACACACACACATGGGTACACACATGGGCATTACACACAGGTACACACGATACACAGGCACAGAACATGTGGTGCACACACGAGCACACACACGGAGCCACTGCATGAGGTACACACATACGGGCACACAGGTGCACACGTACACAGGCACAGACATGCGGGTACACCTGATTTTGCACACATGGGCACACACACTTAGGTACACACACACGGGCACACTGGTGCCCCTGCGTGCAGGCCTGAACATATGGAGTGCATGCGGGCACACACAGGTACACATTACACAGGCACAGACAGCAACTGAGTGCCACGGGCACACACACATGGGCACACACATGGTACACACACACATGGGTACACACAGGTACCTGCATGCACGAGCACACACACAGGTACACACGTACACAGGCACAGACATATGGGTACACACACGGGCACACACACAGTTACACATACACATGGGCACACACAGGTATGCACATGCACATGGGCACACACAGGTATACACTCATGCACACAGGCACACACACAGGTACACACATATCACATGGGCACACATATGGGCACATGCACACACACAGGGACATGCACACAGGCACACACACACAGGTACATACACACAGACACACACCTGCACACAGACACACACACCTGCACACAGGCACACACACCTACATACAGACACACACCCTGCACATGGGCACACACACCTGCACACAAGCACACACACACATACGGGTACATGCACACAGGCACACACATGGGCACATGCACACACACACACCTGCACGCAGGCACACACACACAAGTGTGCACACACGGGCACATGCGCACACACACACTCCCCTGTGGGTGCTGGTTTGCACACGTGGAATCCTGAAAGACACGTTACTCTGCAACTTGCATCATCCCCCTCAAACCTAACCGGGACACATCCTCCAGCAGCCTGCGCTCCTGAGTTGCTGATGGCCCCAGCTGCACCGTTGAGTGGGACAGAAGCACATTGGTAGATTTGAAATTCCAATGCTGCAGACATGACCCACCATGTGCATCCACGCAGAGCGCGCTTGGGTGTGCGGTGCACACGGCCCCTGCCATGTTCCCCACCCCAGGACTGAAGCTACAGGCCGGATCATTGGGCACCCTGGTTTGGATCATCACCACCGCTGTGGTCACCGTTGCTGTTTTTGCTTGGCTTATACTTCACAACGAAGACTTGAGGCCAAGAGCACCCCGCACACCAGGGTCTTCAGTGTTTCCCCTGAACCTGACTCCACCCGGGGCCCCTCCTAGCTGGAGAGCACTGAGCGGGGAAGGAGACGCCGTCCCTACAAGGCCATGCCGAGGATGCTGGAGGAGCTGCTCTCCAAGCCAGGAGAGGAAAACAGAAACACGAGGGAGATTGGGAAAGAGCAAAGCCTTTCAAGGAGACTTTGCCCAGCCGGGCCTGGCCGGTGGCACCTGGAGTTGGGGGGCACCTGTGGGAAGAGCCCCGGCTGGGGAATATGAACGGGCGCAGACTTGTGGCCCCTTTGTGGAGCAGACGGCTGTTCACTAGCATGATGTGCATAGCATCCTGGGGCAGCCATGGGGCTCTCAGGCCCTCTGCCTGCCCTACTGGCCCTACCACTGACCCCAGGCACAGCTGTCCTCAGTGCTGGCCTCTGATCCACCATTTTCCAAGAACCCCAACCCACGAGGTGCTCCTGCCACTGGCTGCCAGCCTGGACCCGACCCAGACCCCTCCCACCTGAGGCCCTGCCAGGAACTGCCTGGCCTGGACACAGAGGAGGTTCCCGGGTGGACGTAGGGAAGAGCCTCCCATTGTCCCAGTGGAGGAAGCTGCCCACAGGCCGAGGATGAGTCACGGGTTCGAGGAATCGCATGGCAAGGCTGTGGGCAGGGCTTTTGTCTGCCCTCCTCCTACATAAGGCCCCCCGAGCCCACACTGCCTCAGCATCCCTCTTGCTCCAGACCTCAGAGCTACCCACAGCCTCAGCCATGCAGTGCCTCCTGCTCACCCTGGGCGTGGCCCTGATCTGTGGCATCTGGGCCATCGACAGTCCCCAGACCATGCAGGACGTGGAGCTCCCAAAGGTTTGAGGCTGGGGGAGCGGGCGCTTTACTGTGGGAGGTCTGGGGTGAGTGGGGGCTGTGGGAAGCCGGGAAGCCCAGGATCTAGAAGGCTGAGGGTTGACAGAGGACGCTGTGATGTTCTGTGAGCTTCCCAGGGCTGGCGTCCCGCAGGTTGCAGCCCGAACAACAGAGCTAATTCTCCCAGTCCTGGAGGCTGGAAGTTCGAGATCGCAATGTCGGCAGGACTGACTCTCCTCCAGGCTCCTCTCCTTGCCGTGTAGACGCCGTCTTCCCACTGTGTCTTCACAGGGCCGTCCCTCCGGCTGTCCGTGTCCTAATCTCCTCCTCTAAGGACCCCTATCAGACTGGGTCAGGGCCACCCTAATGGCCTCAGTTTAACTTCATCACTTCCTAAACCATTCTAGCTCACATTTGGAGGTGCTGCGGTCAGGACTTCAATAGATGAATCTTGGGGATACAATTCAGCGCCTAGGCAGGGCCTCTCTGTCCCCCAACCTCCCTCCAGCCCCAACCACATGGCTCCCCAGGATCCAAATATTCCCTTGACTCAAGGAGATGGGCTCAGTCTGGTGCTTTTTTGGGCTCAAATGAGTGTAGCTGGAACATTTCTGGGGCAGCAGAGTCGGGTCCACGGTGGCGTGAGGCCCCCTCCGGCCTCTGTCCCACGCAGAAGCCTAATGAGTCCAGTCCAACTCCTGCAGCGGCCTGAGGGAGCTGGGGACAGGTGGGACTCAGCCTCACCTGCACGGGGCACAACGAGAGCCATGGTGGCCTGGGGACCCCCGTGCAGCTCGAGGCCCCTTCAGTTGGCAGGGACTTGGCACTCCATGGCTATGGCGGCCAGTGACTTCTCCCTCCTGGAGACCAAGGAGGCCCCTCTGAGGATCTACATCAGCTCGCTGCAGCCTACTCCCGAGGGCAACCTGGAGATTGCCCTGTGCAGATGGTGGGTTCCTCGTCATCGGGGCTGTGGCTGGCAGGGCTCACTCTCCTGCAGCCGGGGTCCAGGACTGCGAGGGGTGGGCAGAGCCAGGGCCGGCCCCAGGCGTTTCCTGATGGTCCAGGGGCTTCACTGTGGACCCTCCATGGTGCCAAGTGGGGTGGGGAATGAAGCTCAGGAGGTTGCCTGTCCCTTCAGAGCCCCTGCCCAGGGACTCTGGGCCAACAACTGACCACACATCGCAGCCCGGGTCAGTCTGTGGAGAAGGCCGGTGTGGGGGCCAGGCTGGGCTGCTGTGGTCTGTGGTCTCCTGGGATCAGGCAGTTCCTATGAGGATTGTCTGCCCCCAGAGTCACGGCTGGGGGAGATGAGGACCTGAACCCCATGACTGCTGCATGAACCCCGGGACCACTGCTGTCCACAGTCATGGCCCCTGACCTCTGGGGCCCAGGGCACTCACTGGCTCCCTCTGGCCTCTTCTGCCTGGTCCCGGGCTACACGTTAGGGGTTTCCCGAGAGCAGTGTTCGTCCTGGTGACCAGCACTTGTAGCCTGGAAGCCCCTCTCTCCTCAGTCCTCGGAGTCTGGCCCCTGCCCCCCTCTCCAGGGCTGCAGATTGGCCACCACAGCGTTTGTGCACACAGGTCACAGAAACAAAGCCCTTTCAGGGAGAGCAACCAATGCGTTGAGGAGAAGATCATTGCAGAGAAAACCGAGAACCCCATCGAGTTCAAGATCAACTGTAAGTGCCGGCTACAGCCCAGGCAGCTCTAGGGACACTGGACAGGTTCCCAAGGGGTGGGACAGTGGGGCCTGGCCTCTGGCCTGGGTGTGCTAAGACAAGCGCGGGTCACAATGGTGACGGCAGCCGCAGGGAGCAGCACCGCCTCTGGGCTGGTCTCACTCCCTGCAGTGACACTGGGTCGCTTGGGCTCAGCTCAGGCAGCAGCGGTGACCCCCTTAGCCAGCAGCCTGTCCCCATTCTCCCTGCACCCTCCGTGTGGCTCCCAACTGCACTCCGCCAGCCGTCTGCTGAGAGTCAGGGCCCCTGTGACCGCCCGATTGGAGGCTGCATCTCCTTGATTCTGTATTCGTTCATCGCTAATTCAAGATGCCAGAGAGTCATGAAGACTCTTTCTCACCAGGCCTCCCCTCCCCAGCCTGGAGCAGGGAGTCCCCCGGGAGCCACGTCCTGCCTTCCAGTACCCCCACTCTCCCCTCCATGTGACTTCCCCCACGGCTGCACACCGCAACCACTGAGGCACTTGAAAGGACTCCTGTGCCAGGGCACCCGCCCGGGGTCTCCGGCATCCCCTGCTTGCAGCTGGGCGGAGACGTTGGCATTTTCCATATAAGCCACGCTGGTGACACAGCTCTGTCCTGGTGGTGCCACCGGACTAAGTCGGCAGAGCCCACCTCACTCGGCCCCGATCCGAGGGTCTCCGCTTCCCCGCCGCCCTGGCATGTGGTGGTGACTCTCAGGACTCACCTTTGCTGCCACAGCTGGGTGTCGGTTTCACCCCCATCAGAGTAGAGACCCCGTTTCTTAGCCTCACTGGGCCACAGTGTTGAGGGTGCCTCGCCCAGGTGGTCGTCTGGGTGTGATAATGAGGGAGGGAATCCTGAGCCAGGGGACAGTCTGTGTCTCCGTGGAGAGTCACAGTTAACAGCCAGGCCTCTCCCAGCCCCGTTTGCCCCTTGGCGTTACTTGTGAGCCGTGCTGGGAGCTCTCTGATGGGAAAGTCACACCGTGCTGGGGTCCAGGGGGACACTGGCCCCAAAGGAAGTTCCCAAGGGGGCCCCGCTGTGGGGTAGCTCTGCACAGCCTGGTGTGTGGTGGGAGAGAAATGGGAGGAAGACGCTGGGTATCAGGGCAGACGCATCCCTCACAGGAACTCCAGCTGGACCACAGGAGACCGACCAGCACTCCCCTTCCCACTGCAGCAAAGCGCCCAGAATTCATTTCTGCTCCTGTCTTGTTCTTTTTCTAGATCTGGATGAGAACAGGATCTACCTGTTCAACACCGACGGCAGCAAATATTTGTTCCTCTGCCTGGAGAGCACCCCCAGGCAGAACCTGGCCTGCCAGTACCTGGGTGCGCGCCTGGGCCCCCAGGGTTCCCGTGGGAAACGGACACAGAATGAGACGCTCAGATCGGTCCTCGAGAGAATGGAAGGCGGGCCCGTGAGGGAGCCGTTGGCTCGGCCCTCCCCCAGCCCCTGGGATTGCCTTCCCAAGGAGCCCAGGAGCGCTGTGGAAGAGGGAAGAGGGGGAGGGGGGTCCTAGTGTTGCATCAGAAACAAGGGAAGCGTTGCACACAGGGACTTGAGGGACAGACACAGACCCCGAGGACAGCAGAGGCCACTGTGGACGCCGGGAAGGAGGTGTCCCTGCAGGTCAGCTGCAAGGGCAGGTGACTTTGACCATCTCTGTGTGGTCGACAGGTGGCTATAAATCCAACAGCCTTCTTGAATGAAGATTTTCCATTATTTTGTCAAATAAGAAGCCAGATACTAAAATGTCTTTCAAACAATCATGTTTGGAAAATGAACATAAGGTGATATTTTCCACATCACACCCGCAGTGCTGTCGGGAGTTCCCAGGGCCACTACATGGACCATTGGCTTTGGGCTGTAGAGACGCTCCTGCTCTACAAATCACCTGTCCTGGGCTGTGGGAGGGCAGCCCGACACGGCGGGGGAGGCGGACACTGTGCTCTCCTCCCGTGTCCTGCAGACACCATCCTGAGCTCTGTGGGCCCCAGCGCTGCCTAGGGTAGATGAGGAGCGGGCCCAGCCAAGGAGCGGGGCTTAGGGACAGGGAGCCTGCAGGCCCGTTGGTCAAATCCTGCAGATCAGTCTGAGAACCTGCTCCAGATCAAACTCTGCCCAACCTCAGAGCACCAGGGCCTCCTTCCCTGCCCTCCCTCCCCAGGCAGGGCCCCTGGAGCTCCCAGGGCCCAGGACTGAGCCAATGTCCCCCACAGCCAGGACCCCGGAGGTGGACGACAAGGTCATGGCGGAATTCATCAGCTTTCTCAAGACTCTGCCCGTGCACATGCAGATCTTCCTGGACGTGACCCAGGCAGAAGGTGAGCTGCCCCCAGGACAGGCCCAGCCTTGGCTACAGGAGAAGCCGCCCACTGTCCCAGCCTCTGTAGGACTCAGGGCAGCACCTGTCACTCCTCGTTGGCCCCTCCCACATTCTCCCCAGGGCTTCCCTGGGGGCGCAGAGGCACCCTGAGGTGGGGTCCCGTCTCCCTCCCGTCATCCCCCAACCTCTGGCCCTGGGGCTGCTGTGTCCCCAGCTAAGTCCCCCCTCCCACTGAGGTTCCCACTGCCCCTCTCCTCCCACAGAACAGTGCCGCGTCTAGATAAGCTCCTGCTCGGTCCTGCCTCCTGGGTAATGTACCAGCCTCGCCCATAGCCCGAGGTCACCTCTCTGGGTCCCTGGAACAGACCCCACTGTGCCCATTCCCCAGGGCTGACCCTGAGCGATGGAATCCTGGGGTCTCTGGAAAAGCCCAGCTGGCCACGTGCCTGCATCTCTGGGGTTGGCCACTCCAGATGCCATTTCCTGTGCCCTGGGCACAGGATGAGACCCTCTCCTTCAGGGTGGGGGTGAGTGATGGGGGGGCTCAGGGGAGGGCAGGCCTGGGATCACAAGACCCTCCAGCCTGAGGCTGGGGTGGAGGTGGGGCTCCCCTCACACAAGCAGGGGTCCTACACCCCTAGCCTGGGAGGGGATGCCCCTGCCCTGCAGGGTTCTAGAGTCACAGCAGAGCCCCTTTGTGCACATCAGGTCCCGGAGCCTCGGCCCCTGTGCGGACGGAGAGGATGTCGCCTTCCTGGGAGGGACAAGGAGGCTGATGACCAAGGCACATTTCCTGGGACCCTGGGACCTCCTGGGCCTCAGCCTGGGGTCTCCTGTCCTAAGCTGTCCCTCTTTGAGCAATAAATAACCTCGTCCCTTGACTCTGCTGGCTGGCATGTGGGGATGCAGCTGAGAGCAGGTTGGGGGGCTGGGGGACTTGGGGACTGGTAGACTCAGAGGCTGGGGGACTCAGAAGCTGGGGGACTCGGGGGCTGGGGGACTCGGGGACTGGCAGACTCAGAGGCTGGGGGACTCGGAGGCTGGGGGACTCAGAGGCTGGGGGTCTCAGCGGTTGGGGGACTCAGGGGCTGGGGGAGTCAGGGGCTGGGGGACTTGGGGACTGGTAGACTCAGAGGCTGGGGGTCTCAGCGGTTGGGGGACTCAGGGGCTAGGGGAGTCAGGGACTGGGGGACTCAGAGGCTGGGGGACTTGGGGGCTGGGGGCTGAGGGAACTGAGTTCATGGTTTCTGTACTGTAGGCCCCATCATATTTGGGGATCAAGACACTATAGGGGGCTTTAAAATTTTCAGGAACTAGATAAGAGTGCTCCTGAGATGGCCAGAGCTTGCCATTCATGTTGGAGGTCCAGGTCACACAAAGGACAAAATATGAAAAATCACAGACCCATTCACCAAATAAATATTCCTATGAAAACTTAAATGAGTTATTTACAAATCAAATTCTGCACTATTTAAAAAACACAAACCACATGACCTCCAGGGCATCTCTCAGGAGCATAAGGGAAATTGCTACCAGGAAGAGCTTTGCTATCAACCTTCATCTGCTCGTAAACGCCATCGATCTTTTCTGGGCTCATGTGAAATAAAGAGATTTACCCTGGATTGAGGAACTGAACAAAAGAGGTGAGATATGGGAGAGGAACTTGTTTTTCATTTTAAAATATTTTGAACATCACAAAAGGAAAAATAATATGCAACAACAGAAATAGATTTGCCAACAATAATAACATGCATAACTTTAAATTTTCAAAATATAGATGTTTCTGATAAAACATCAATTACCAATATTGGCTCAAAAAGTAGAGGAAAACTTAGAAAGAGCAATCATCATAGAAAAAAATCAGAATAGTTCCAGATTTTCTGTCTATGGATGAGAATAAAAAACCTTTATGTGATAGTTCCTGGCTCATACAATCCATTCCAGGGCATAGAAAAAGATGGGGAGTTGCTTAGCTGCCCTGATAACAAAACTGAACAAGGAAGATGCAGGAAAAGGAAAGTTGTCAGCTTTCAGAATCAAGACACAAATACCTGAATACCTTATTAGCAGATTGAATCTAACAAATATATTTAATACATCATGATTTAGCCCCCAAAAAAAGGATGTTTAAATATTAGAAAATGTATCCATAAAACCTGGGTGTGGTGGCTCACACCTGTAATCCCAGCACTTTGGGAGGCCAAGACATGTGGATCGCCTGAGGTCAGGAGTTCAAGACCAGCCTGACCAACACAGTGAAACCCCATCTCTACTAAAATTACAAAAATTAGTTGGGCATGGTGGCAGGCACCTGTAATCCCAGCTACTCGGGAGGCTGAGGCGGGGGAATCACTTGAACCTGGGAGGTGGACATTGCAGTGAGCCATTATCATGTCACTGCACTCCAGCCTAGGTGACAGAATGAGACTCCATCTCAAATGTATCAATAAAATTAACTAACTTAAGACTAAGGGAGAAGTGCCATATAAGAATCTTTAATTAATTTTTTTAAATGTTTCAAAAAATATAATATTCCATTCATGAAGGAGACCTTGCACATCAGGAGTGCTTATAGGTAACCCTGAAACCCTGAAATGAATGAACCAATCACTGAAAGCACCAGAGTTCTTTCTTACTTATACAAAATTTCCTTTGTGGCTTAGCAGGAGAGTCGACTCCTCATGGTCACTCAACAATCCAAGTGATCAAATAGCCACTACCCATGGTGTTGCTGGCCACCATGCCAGAGGGAAAACAGGGATCGGGGGCTTCAAACTGTCCATTCAGTGCCCTATCCTGAAAGGGACACCTATTACCTCCCTAGAAGAGGGCTGAAAGTCCAATCCTACCTAGGTTTCCTACCAAAGAATAGAAGGGAACGTCCCTAAACTGATGATTAAAAAAAAAAAAAAAAAACCACCAAACTACAACTAGTGCTTTATGTAAACATTCAGCTAGACTGAGTGCTTCCCCACTAAGATTGAGAATAAAGCAAGGTTGTCCTTTCTCATTGCTCTTATTCAACACATACTGAAAGCTCCAGTGCAATAAGACAATTTAAAGAAATAAAAAGCATAAACATTGGAAAGGAAACATGTAGTATAACAAAGAAAAAGAGAGAGAAGACACAAACCACTAATACCAGGAATGAATGAGGAGACATCACTACTGACCCTATAGACATCAAAATGATAATAAGAGAATACTGTGAACAACTCTACACATATAGATTTTACAATTTATTTGAAATGGACCAATTCTTTGAAAAATACAACCTATCACAATTCATTCAATATGAACTACATAATTTTTTTTCTTTCTTTTTTTTTTTTTGAGACGGAGTCTTGCTCAGTCGCCCAGGCTGGAGTGTGGTGGTGTGATCTCGGCTTACTGCAAGCTCTGCCTCCTGGTGAACTACATAATTTTAATAGCCCTTATGACTATTAAGGAAATTGAGTTTTTAATTTAAAAACTACCATAAAAAGATATCTCAGGGCCCAGATAGTGTCACAGGGTATTTACACCAAATGCTTAAAGAATTAGCACTAATGCCACATAATCTGTTGCATAAGATAGAAGAGGCAGTAACACTTCCCTGTTCATTTTATGAAGCTATTATTATTACCCTGATACCAAAACCATACAAACCCGGTAATAAAAAGATGGGGTAGGGTGACTACTACCTAGTGTTCCTCATAATTATAGATGTGACAATCCTTAACAAAATATTAGCAAATAGATTTCAGCAATATATAACAATAATAGTACACCATGAATAAGAAGGGTTTACACCAGGGAGGAGAAGTTGGTTCAACATTTGAAAATTAATCCATGTAACCCACCATATTATCAGGCTATCAAAGGAAAACTATATGATCGTATCAATCAATACAGAAAAAGCATTTCACAAAATTCAATATCTGCTCATAAGTTTTTTCAAAAACTCAGAAAAGTAAGAATAGAGAGGAGCTTCCTTAACTTGATAATGAACATCTACTAAAAACTTACAATGAATACTATACTCAACTGTAAACAACTGAATGTGTTCCCTCTGTCTTAGTTCCAGCTGCTGTAACAAAATATGACACACTGGGTTGCTTAAACAACACTTTATTTCTTACAGTTCTGGGAATGATAAGAAAAGGAGCACAGTGCTGGCAGATTTCACCTCTGGTGAGGGCTCTCTTCCTGGTTTGCAGATGGCCACCTTCTTGCTGTATCCTCACGTGGTAGAGAGAAAGGTCTCATCTCTCTTCTTTTTATAATGGCATTTGGGAAATAAAAATGAAACCCTAAGCTCCTCAACTGGCTGAACGAACTCCCTCTTGGCCGAGCAGACCCCAAAGAAACCTTGAAAACTGAGTTCTAAGCCATGACAGGATGTGGGGGATCACACACTCCTCCTTATTACCCCCACCCCCTGCACACACACTTACTACCATTAGACTTTTTTCCCTAAGGGCTAAATAGAAACCAGTCCTTTCAAAAGACTCCACTGCTGATATCAATCAAGCACCTGACACTGCTTCTCCCTTTTTTTGGTTTCAACACAATTGTCCAGCATTCCTTCCTGATAAGGGACCACTGATCACAGAGTGGTTCTAGCTGGTCTATGTGCGACAGCATGAAGCTGCATTGCCCATATGCATGTTTCTCCTTTCATAACTCTTCCTACAGTTTATTAAATATGTATATTCAGCCATTCTACTGAGCATAAATTCCTGCTCCTGCTCCTTTTTTCTCTCTGTGGAAATCTCTGTTTCTGGCTTCTGGCCCAAGGCTACACTTCTCGGTCTGTCAGAATGGCCGTGCTGCAGGCTGAAACCCCTTATGAGAAGTAAAACTCTCTTTTCCAAATGTATGAACTTCATCATTCTTCAGTTGACATGATTGGTGATGAGGATGGGATCTGCAGAGAGCCCCAGGTTCTCCCAGCATGATTGGAAGTCAGTGCACCAAGGTCTTCGGCTCAGCTGTCTCCCCAGCTGACCACACAGGGAAGAAGCCAGGTAAGGTCCACTGGATCTGAGATCTCCTGCTTTTAGATTGAAGACTTCAGAGACTTTTATTTCTCTCCACCCCTTCCCTTTATGTCTTCCTGTTTCCTCCCCAGTCCCTGCCCTGGTTCCCTCCATCTAGACTCTGGAGGGAATGTCTTTGTTGGCCCAGGTTTAGGAGGGGACCTTCCCAGTCCAGTCAGACTCAGCTGGTCCATAAGATTTTATGAGGACTCCCACACTAAGAACACTCCAACGGACCCTTCCTAAAGTGAGCATCATTACAGAGAACCCGAGTGCAAGGCAAGAACCTTAGTTCTAAGGGGAAAGCATAGAGAGCCTTAGTTCTAAGAGAACAGACTCTGATCAGTCACCATAAGAGACCCCAGAGGCTTCCATGTTTAAAAATGATGGGGTGATTAGATTTCTTTTTTAAAAAGGAAACATGATAGTGTCATGGCTAGCCTTAAAAACACTCTTGAATAAATGAAAGAGAAAAATCTGACCTAAAACAAAGCTAAAGTCTTTGGAGGCTCAAACTCCTCACTTCAGATGGCCTGAGGGAATAACAAAAGCCATCGTTCTTTGCAGTCTAATAGTTAAAATTCTGCAATTTCACTGCCACGGCTTGGGTTTGATTCCTGGGCAGGGAACTCTTTTGGTTTGATATTTGTGTGACTTTTCCCAGTTATCAATGCTTTTCCATTCCATCGACAGCTTTTGATTTCCTGTCTTCTGCTCATGTAGGCATACTGGGATTTGGGGTCTTTGTGTGTAGACCATCAGCTGGGAAGCTAAGACCCTAGTAAATATAGCCTGATAGAAATGTGGGTTGTGCCCCATTTATGGCGAGTGAAACTTTCCTTTCTT